CCAGCTAGCACTTCCAGGCTCCTCAGCGTCCATCCTCCATGTGATCACAAGAAAGCAGCCTTCCAGCAAACATGACCACTTGCTCTATCAGCTCTGCATTCCAGATGTCACAAGAGCTCTTTTTGTGGCCAAGTGTGGACAAGAGCCGGACAGGGAAAACCTTCTAGAGAATGTAGTTCCTGTCTTGGCTAGGCTGACCTTGCGCAATTGGCCACACCACTGAGGAACAGGTAGGTTCCCACAGCACACATGAGTGTGCCCAAGTTCTGTGCAAGTGATCAGCAGTGGAGAGAGAGAAAATGACAATTTCTAGGCCTGCAGGGGCCTTGTAGTAATGTAGCCAGGCAGAAGCAGAAGAGACAGAGATGCCTTCCAGCTATTTCAGTGCCTCAGGTAGGACGGGGAGTGCTCTGCAGCAAATGAGGACATGGAACTTGGGCGTTGAGTGTGGAACCACCTACATATAAATACAGTTGTTATTCAAACCATGAGATTGGAGAAGTCAATCATAAGAAACTTGGGTGGCTGGGCTTGACAATGAAAAATCTTTTGTATAGCCTATGAAAACCAAGATAATTAAAGTATTTGTTTTTGTTCACCATTATGATCAGAATTCAGGACAGTTTGAAAAATGATTTGATGAACCCATTTGTAATATTTTTTTCTACTTTGTTTAGGAAAATGAATTTGCACAGGCCAGCAGCTATGCAGATCTAGCTGTGAACTCTGATAGATATAACCCATCAGCTCTTACTAATAAAGGGAATACAATTTTTGCAAATGGTGATTATGAGAAGGCAGCTGAATTCTATAAAGAGGCTCTGCGAAATGATTCTTCTTGTACTGAAGCCCTTTATAATATTGGTAAGTGAAACAAAGAAAATTTGATTTTTGCATTATTTGGGCTTTTTTCCAGCTCATTCTGAGGAGTTAAATTCCTTCTAACAAAAAGTTTAAAGAAAGGCTATTACTTCTCAGATTGTAAACCATTCTGTATGAAATTAATAATTCAAAATCTGTACATATATATTTGGAGCAACTTCATATTTTCCTCCAAAAAGGCTTTTCCAATTCCTATTTTTACAAGTGTGTAAGAGTGACTAATATCCCTAATTCCCACTGATACTGGATATCATTCCTAATTTTGTCAAACCAGTAGGTATTGTATGGGGAGGCTATCTCATTTTCTCTCTTTTTAACTATGAAAAATGTCAAATATACAAAAGAAACAGAAAAATGCTCATATACATACCATTCCAGTTTAACACATTTTAACATTTTGCCATTTGTACTTCAGATTTTAAGGAACAGTACTGCAAGCCACACAGGCTCACTTTTGCCTCTCTCCCTTCCCTGCCATTGAACCTTGGAATCTTATTGCTTCCTACAAATGCACACACACACACACACACACGCATACCCCACATGTGTGCAATGTGGAACTTTTTCTCTTGGATCATTATTGAAGTTTCTTTGAAAATTTGCTTCTCCCTCCATAGGCATTTTGCTTCTTTCATGGACTTTCACATTGTGACCTCTTGTCAGTTAGCCCCATGATTTTATGCTATTCCTAGTGTTTTTGGTAATTTACAGCCAAACACTGAGGGGACTGAGTCCACAAATGAGGAGTTGGCACTTGCATTGGAGACCTGTCTTGTCTACTCTGTGTAGTGGGGGACTTCCCTTCAGCCAACTAGATCTTTCCTCCCACAGAAGATGCTAATTTAAAGGGATGAAGAAGGAAGCCAGGTAGGAAGTACAGTTTTAGATGGGGTCAGAAAAGGCTTACTGAGAAGTGACTAGCTATGTTGGAAGGATAGCATCAGGTATCTGAAGAGTGCCTGTCTTAGTTACTTTTTTACGCATTGCTGGGACAAATACCTGACACTCAAAATGAAGGAAGGAAAAGTTTATTCAGCTCACAGTTACTGAAGGGTTCAGTGCATATTCCACTGGCTCCAAGGCAAATGACAGCAGTTCATGCGGCAGAAAACAATGAAGAGCAAAGAAAGAGCAGCAGCTGCGGCATCCATCAAGCCTCTGTCTTCCTTCTACACTGACTGCGAAGATCAGTGGGGCAGGGCTGGGCCCCCATGTCTGGAACTACTGGAGCTGATTCAGCCAAGTTAACAAAATGCACCAACTAACACAATCCACCCCTTGTCAACTTGGCAACTAGACATATACTTTTTAAAGCCAATTTCCAGGTACATAGACATGCTTAAACATTTTACAGCTTGAAAATTGTATAACATTAGAATTATGACATGTTACCAATGGCCCTCCAAAGACTCATGCATATCTATTTATGCAAAAGACATTTTAGACCATCTCTAAGAGTTGCCAAAGTCCTAACAGTTTCAGCAATGTTGAAGAGTCCAAGTCCCAAGCTTCCAAGATCTAAGGCAAACTCTTAGCTGCAAGCCTCTCTACAAATGAAAAGTTAAACACTTCCAACATTCACAGGCACAAGATAAGCATTGTCATTCCAAAAGGTGTACACAGCAAGATACAAACAGTTCGGACCAAAACAAGTCCAAAGTCCAGAAGGGCAAATGTTAAGTCCTGTAGTTCCTTGTGGACCATTTAAAGCACCCTGTAATGACTTGTGAGCTCCAAAAGCCTTACATGGCTCCACCCCTATGGCACCCCTGCTGGTAGCTCCTATGGCTTTTCTCTTAGGCCTGCTTTGCTCCTTTTTTGCAGCTTTCCTTAGACCATCCACATTCCTGGCTTTGTCAAACTTCTGAGGTTTCCACTGAATAGGCTTCTGTCTCACAGCTTTACACTTTGCCCTCTCAGGGGCGCATTGCCTGGCCTCCCAGGCCTTTTTCTGAAATATAGGTGCAGGCCTTCTAAACCTCAGAACTCCTGCATTTTGCATGCGCCTACAACCAAAGCCACATGGATGATGCCAAGGGCTGCTGCCAGCTGGAGCAGTAGCCAGGCTTCCTTCTCTCTTGGCTGTAGGGTTTGAGTGAGTGGATCACTGAGCACTCTGACCCTGATTCTGAGGAATATATTCTCCATGCTGGTGCCATTCTGGAACCTGGTATGTCCACTGCGGCCATTCCAGAACACGGGGCTCTGCAGCTTTCCCCTCAAGGCAAAGTCCCTGACCTTTGCAATTCTGAGGCTGCAACCTCCTGTGATGCCCTCAGGCCATCCTGTTCATTTTCTTGTTTCTTCTTAGCAGTGGATATCCTCTCAGTTCTATTTTTGCAGTCCACAGCCTTCCTGACACTTCCTTTCTGGCCAAACTCACATTTTAATCATCCTTTTTGGCTCTTTGCTCTTCATTTTTAACATAAATCTGGCTAAAAGCTCCCAACAACAACCACGCCATTGCCCCAGTATTTGGCTACTTTGAAATTTCTTTTTCAAGATTAACTAGTCTGCTGTGCTTAATCTCAGTCTCAGCAGTCTCTGTACAGGAGCAAAATGCAGACAAACTTTTTGCCAAGGTATAACACAAATCATTTGCAGTCCAATAACCAATGCCGTCCTTCTTCCCAGCAGAAACCTCCCTGGCCTGGTCTTTACAGTCAAGTTTCTTATCAGCATTCTGGACTGAGCTCTGATCAGAGTGTCCCACCAGAACAGCTGATGCTGTTCCAGGGTTTTGCTTGCTTGTAGGCAACCCCTCTGAACCTTCCCTATCTCTTCCCATAAGCCATTCCGAAAAGCTTGTAATCCACATTGTCAGGTGTACCCTCAGCACCAGCCCCACTCCTGGTACCAAATTCTGTCTTAGTTACTTTTTTACTCATTGCTGGGACAAATACCTGACACTCAAAATGAAGGAAGGAAAGGTTTATTTAGTTCACAGTTACTGGAGGGTTCAGTTCATATTCTGCTGGCTCCAAGGCAAGCGATAGCAGTTCATGTGGCAGAAAACAATGAAGAGCAGAAAGGAGCACCAGCTGCAGCATCCATCAAGCCTCTCTCATCCTTCGACTCTGACCATGCAGATTGTAGCACCTCCAGAGTGGCGCAGCTGCTAAAGATCAAGCTCCTCCGAAGACAAACTGGGACTTCTCCACAGAAGTGGGGTAGGGCTGAGCCCCCATGCCTAGAACAGCCGAGCTGATTCAGCCAAGTTGACACAATGTATCAACTAACACAGTGCCACTGTCACAGGAAAGAGGAAAGCAAAGGCCTTCACATGTGGGCTTTGTTGCCTTGAGAGGTGTTTGTCTGTCTACTAAAAAGTTTCAAATATTTCCGTACCATTATTTTTTGTTTTGTTGTATTTTGTTTGTGCCAGGAATTGAACTCAGGACCTTGTGCTTGCCAGGCGAGCACTGTGCTGCTGTGCTGTATCCTTACCCTACCATTGTTGTTCCTCTTTTCTTCCTTCCTCCATCCTCTAACCCCCTTTTCTTTCCTTCTTTTCTTCCTTCCTTTCTTCTTTCCTCCCTCCCTCCTTTCCATCCTGGGAATTGAACCCAAGGCCTTCTCTGTGCTAGGCAATTGTTCTACCACTGCTGAGCAACATCCTCAGCCCTCAGTGTTCTACTTTTAACTTTGTTTATAATTTCTTTTTAAAATATTTTTTCTCTTGTTAATATAGTCAAATTGGCTTTTAAAAATTGACAGTTTTATTCATTTATGAAGCTCTTCCCTTGCCCAAAGATTATAAAATCATTTCTCTGAATAAATGAAGTATGCTTTATCTGAATGTTTGGGACCATAAAAGTATTTGGGATTTTTTGAAATTTTGAAATATTTACATGTATAGTATCTTAGGGATGAGACTTATGTCTAAACAAAAATTTCATTCATATTCTTTATACACAGATCTTGAAGGTTATCTTATACAGTATTCTTAATACACCTGAATTTTGATTGTAGAATTTTCCATTTGTGATGTCATGTAGGAGTTCAGAAAGGTTAAGATTTTGAAGTTTTTTGGATTAGGGATGCTAAGCTATATTTTCTTTTTTGTATTCATACAGCTTTGTATTTATATTTAGGTTTTTAAAAAATTTAATGTATTTTTTGGTGCAATAAGAATCTACTTTTTTTCCTTCAGGTATAATCAGTACTGGCACCATTTATTACTCCCCTATGCTGATTTGAAATGCCCATTAGCTACTTTCTATATCTGAGTCAATTTCTGAGCTGTCTTTTCTGTTCTGATCTGTGTACCTATTACTGCTCCTTAGAAAGCTTTTAAAATCAGTAAAGCAGTCAAATCAAATCACTAAAGCTTTGTAGTGTTTAGTGACTGTGTGAAGAATCCCCACCTCCTATTGTTCTTTTCAAAAATTCTCAGTTCATTTTCTCCTCTGGATAAATAAATATATTTAAAAAGTCATTCTTTTATTCTGAGTACATTTTTGCCAGTAATAATGCTTATAGGTGTTCTTTTTCTTTTCTTTTCCAAGGCCTTACCTATAAGAAGCTCAACCGGCTAGATGAAGCTTTGGAGTGTTTCCTGAAACTTCATGCAATTCTGCGAAACAGTGCCCAAGTGCTTTACCAGATAGCAAATGTGTATCTTAATTTGAAAAAAAATTAGGGCAGTTATTATTCAAAAAGTGATGATTGAGTAACTGTTACTAAATGAGCTTAACCATCAAAGTAATTCAAGTAATTCATATTTGAAGTAACCAATGAAGGTAGTCTAACTAGCAACATTAGCATATGTTGAAAATATTATCTGAGTGATTCTGTTTTTAAAAGATCATTCACATCCTTGTAATCCGAGTACTGTGGAGGCTGAGGCATCACAGGTTCTAGCCCTAGCTGAACAGCTTAGCTACTTAGTGAGACCTTATCTCAAAATTAAAATTAAAAGGGGCTGGAGATATATATATCTCAGGGCCCAGGCCCCAGATTCAATCCCCAGTACCACAAATATATGTGAATTAATTAATTAATTGAAATTCTATCATAAGTATTTGTAAAACATTGAAATTTATTTATTAATTTGTGAATTTGAATAATACGTCTGTTTAGCTGTCATGTAAACATAATAAACATGCAGAACTATGCAGTACTTCATATGAATTCATTCATTCCACTCAGCCAGTGTCCATTCATCTAGTGTGTGCCAGTGTTATGTTTAGAGCTCTGGGGAGTGTAGAACTATAGAACATTGCTCTCAGGTGAGTTTCTTCCATGACTCCTGGCTTTCTTTAATTGTTTTTCCCCCACCCTCAGTTAAAAAAGCAAATGTTTATTCATGTCTTTTACATTACATATAAAGTACTTTAATTTCTCTCATTTTATAAGGTTTGACCATAGCATTAGGAAGAGATAAAATCAGCTTTTTAAATTCTTAATTGATATAAATTTCATTTAAATATGCTCAGAACAAAATATATTGATATGTACTATTAATAATTTTAAGTCTTACGTACTACACTTTTTTAATTTATTTAATTTTTATTTTTTTAATTTATTGAGAAACAAACAGCGATGAGATAGTTTTAAAACCAATTAGTACCAGAGTTTCAGTAATTAATATGTTACATATTATCTTCTTAGTGGTTATTCGTAGTACAAAGTGCTGACATGATATCCTGTCCAAACACTATTAGAACAAATCTTTCTTCTCATTGAATTAAGAGGAAGTAGCTGTATATCGATCTTAACTTTTCTATATACAGATACAAAATGGTCTTTCATTTTTTCCTCCTTTTTTGTTTGGTTTTGTCAGAGAAGGGTATTCCATTGTCATTTAAATATTGTAGGTACATGAATTCAGCAAAATATTCCAAGATAGTCCAGTAGTCCATAATAGTAGTGGGTCATCCACAGGACTGGCAGTGTCAGAAGTTATTGACCTGAGTCCTTTACAGCCCAGCATACCAACATGACTGCACCCCTTATACCTCGTTATTTTACCTTTCTGCTGGATGGTTAAGACCAAGATAAAACAGACCTATATAACAAGAAATTATACTATACTTTTGATACATTTTTTAAATTTTTTTGTTTAAAAATTTAGTTTTAAAACAGATAGCATCATAGTTATGTTTTTAAATATTTTCATATTGCATTGTTCAGTTAATTTCTCTGAAACTGTTGCATCGTGTTCTGATACTGCCCAATTAGTGATCAAATAATTAATATGCTTGAGGCTCTTCGAATCCTTTTTTAAAATTTATTTTATTATTTATTTGTGTTACTGGAGATTGCACATGTTAGGCAAGCACTCTACCATCGAACCCTCAATTCTTTATTTTTTTCTTATGTTATCACTTTTGTCACCATTCAAAACAGGAGACCAAATTTAGAATAGTAGTGTATGCCTATAATACCAGATTCTCAAGAGGCTTGAATCATGAGGATAGTGAATTTGAAGCTAGCCTGAGTAATTTAGCCCTTATCTCAGAAATAAAGACAAGGGTCAGGTGGTATAGGCCTGTAATCCCAGCACTCAGGAGGCTGAGGCAGAAGGATCATTGTGAGTTCAAGACCAGCCTGGGCTACAAAGAGGGCTCAAAATCAGCCTGAGCTATATAGTAAGACCCTGAAAAGACAGGAGGGAGGGCCGGGGAGATGGCTCAGTAGAGTAAGTGCTTCCTTGGCAAGCGCAAGGGTCTGAGTTCAATCCCCAGTTCTGCCAAAAAAATTTTAAAAAGACAGGAAGAAGGAGGAAGGAAGGAAGGAAGGAAGGAAGGAAGGAAGGAAGGAAGGAAGGAAGGAAGCTCCCTGTATTCTTGGTCCTATAATTTACTTAGGGAAAAATTGCATGAAAATAATTTTTTAATATGTTAGCATGTTAAGAGTGATGATAGTAAAAATAAAGAGCAAAATAAAAGAAAAAATAATAGAAGGTAGATCTTTCTCAAAGGGGAAGAGGGTCAAAAGATGAAGGAAGAGGCAAGAGATGAAGAAAAGGAATTGGGATGTATTATGTACATGCACCAGCTCCACACAGGAGTGTAAATACCGTGTACTGCAAGCATGTACTAATAAGCTAAAATTAAAAGTAATAAACTAATTGAACAAATAGATTTCAAGGACAAATTTTGGAATTGCTTTTAATAATTCTGGTAGAAATTTGGGAGTTGATCTCAGAGAAAGGTAATGAAGCAAAGGAAAAAAACAGGTACGAGACAACAGCATTGCTGTGCAGTTTTCATCCCTACTCCTGAAAACGTCTGAGGGCACTGTACCAGGTGACTCAGTACAGGCTAAGAAATATTTTCAATACTGATTTTACTTTTGCTTATCAATTAGTGAATTTAGAAAAGCTGTGTTGGGCTGAGGGTATAGTGTTAGCCTGGCAAGCACGAGGTCATGGGTTTGATTACCAGTACAAAAAGAAAAAAGAAGAAAAGCTGTGTTTTTCTTAACTGACATTGCCTAAGATATGAATTAATGGATGATCCCAATCAGGCTATCGAATGGCTAATGCAGCTGATCAGTGTTGTTCCCACTGATTCTAAAGCCTTGTCTAAACTAGGAGCATTATATGATAGTGAAGGAGACAAATCCCAGGCATTCCAGTACTACTATGAGGTAGGTGTTTGTCTTACTTTTCTTTGTTTCAGAATTTCATGGATTTTAAAATCAACAGGTCTATAAAATTTTGGAAAAGCTTATTCATTTTTAACTGAATAATTTAAAATAAAGTATTCTTGAAATGTAAAGTTATTATTTGATTAATTTTAAAGGTACAAATTCATTTTTTGGCTAAAGCATGATTTATATCACTTTTTGATTCTTTCAGATATTTAATATGACTCAGATCTTATAATACTATATCTAAAAGCCATTTATACATAATTGAAAAATGTGTTAAGCTAAGTTTTCCAAGTCTTACGGTGGTGCATGCCAGTAATTCTAGCACTTGGCAAATGGAGGCAAGAGGATTATTGTGAGTTTAAGGCCAGCTTGGGCTCCATAGTGAGTTCAAGACCAGCCTGGACCTTTGAGCAAGGACTTGTCTCAAAAGAAATTTCAAGAAATTTATGACAACTTGTACTTTTTTATTAAGAAATTTCATATTGGGTAAATAAATCCAATTAATAGTAATATTTTCAGGGTCAAGGATATAGCACAGTGCCAAGTGACACAGTATAGGCTAAGAAATATTTTTGATACTGATTTTACTTTTGGTTATCAGTCAGTGAATTTAGAAAGGCTGTGTTGGGCTAGGTACATCTCAGCGGCACAGTGTCTGCCTGGCAAGCGTAAGGTCCTGACTTCTCTTCCTGGTATGGGGGATGAGGTGGGGAGGAGTAATATTTTCAAGAAATATGTTCAAGATTGCTACTGAAGTTGTATTGTCACATTTTTCCAGTCATATAGGTATTTCCCCTCTAATATTGAAGTCATTGAGTGGCTTGGAGCCTATTATATTGACACTCAATTTTGTGAAAAAGCCATTCAGTACTTTGAAAGAGCTTCTCTTATACAGTAAGTAACTAGTAGGATTTTAAGTAATGTCTTGTATAGAAATTTTTATGCTTATATATTTTTATCTGATAGGCCTTGTAAATATAAGAAAAGATATGAAAAATTGTGAGTTATTTTTATTTTATTTTTTTACTTGGTCTATATTGTAATAAAAATATTTCATCTTTCCATAATTTTTTAAAATCTTCTATAAAGCTAGGCTAGACCTATGAATTATTTTAGTGACCTTGTTTTTAAAAGATAATATATAGCTGGACATTGTGGTGCACCCCGTAATGCTAGCACTGTGAGAGGCTGAAGCAGAAGCATCACAAGCTTGAGCCCAGCCTGGGCTTCTGAAGAGTCTGACCTTAAACAAAAAAGGATTGGGGGTGTTTGTTAATCCCCAGTGCCACCAGAAAGCCTTCTAAGAACTACTTTTCTTTGTATATTTTTTGTTCACATCTCAGAGAGCAAATGTTATTTCTTTATAAATCAGAAAAGGATTACTAATTTTAAAAGTTGTGTTGGTTTCTATTTACAATGAATATACATTGTATATTAAAAGTTAAACTGACTAAATTAAGTGGCTAAGTTCGTATCAGAATGTTTGATATATATCTGATTAAAAATAATTAGAACCCAATACTATTGTGGACTACTGAACTCTTAGATTATTTTGCAGAGTTAACACACCTATAATATTCAAATAACAGAACTTAACAAAAAAAGGGTATACAGATGAATGTCCATTTTGTATCTGTGTATTCAAAGTGGTTAGGATAGATATATAGTTACATTCTCTTAATGAATAAAG